GAAGAAAAAGAAATCCACCTCTTAAAACCTTACAATTGAGGAAAACAAACGCCCAAAGGATAGTTTGCATATGGAAATCTGATTCTAAAAATTCATTCTCCAAAATGAATAAAACACCAAGATAAAATGACACTTGGGCTAAAACTTCTGTGTATTTTGGGGGTGGGCCATTGGAAAGAGCCGTTGGTCAAACTCTCCACAGTGTGTCCTGTCTTTGGGGCACAGGCACAAACACACAACAACTTCTACCCACAAAAGCCAACAAACAATGGCCTACATGAAGAAGCCTTAAAAAACACTAGGGAATCAAAATATTGGGTCTTGAACAGAGACTCTCCATTCTCCCCACCCCATTGGCACTCAGGGGACATCTCACCTTGATCCTCCTGAGAAGGGCAGGAAGGAGTGGCTGTGTCGAGAAGATCCAGGTGCAAATCGAGARGGATCAAACACCTGCAGAGAGAGCAGCAGGAAACCAGGACAAGTTGGGATCAAGTCCCTGCTTTCCAGCCACAGAGGGAACAGGATCCACAGAGGTGGAAGAAGGAGGATGTGTTGGTCTTAACAGATCATCCCCTTCCCCACCCCCACAAGGCCTCCTACCTCTGGTTTTGGCCACACCTTTGGGTTGTGGTGAAGGCCATAAATGGAGAGTGTGACCATGAAACCTGTGGGACAGTTAGGAAACAGAAAAAAAGATTATTTATTCCAGTGTCCCAGAACTCTGTCTCTGAAACAGCAGGACACCTGCACACATGAGTTGTATGCGTCCCAGATATCATCACTTTGAGCAGGATGATTTTACCACAGGAAGGTAGTGTTGGCATGGCAAAGCATCTGAGTGAAGGTGAGGAACAGAAAACTGTGAGCCCAGGAATAAGACCAAGAAAATATCGGAGACTCACTGCTTACACTAAATGAATACTATCCATCTAGTACCTTCCATGAAACAGTGGAAAGTATACATGAACTCACCCGACCCTCACAAGCACCCTTCAGAATACACAGGTTTACACCCATTTTCTTATGAGATCCTGGAGTTTCAGTGAGGTTGCTTAWCTTTTTTATATTCACACAGCTGGCATGTARCAGAGCAAGGATCAGACTCAATGCTGGGTGAGCCAATGGGTGGCTTCCTAACAGGGTAGAAATATCAGCTTCTCCTTTCTATCAACCAGAAAATCCTTAGATTCTGGGCCACACTGACTTGTAACATGGGTTTTCATGATCTCCTTCATTTGCCTTGAGGCATTAAAAAAAAAATAAAAACCACAACTCATTGACCCTGTATGATTATCTCTCTACCCTGCTCTTCTCAAGTACTGATAATCACAAGTATAATATCTGAAGGTTGATATTGAATCCATAGTTGGCATTTTTTAGTTGAGATTTTTCTGATTTCAAGCTCTCTGTCCAGCATTTCATAAGAGTCATCCAAATTTCAGAGTAACTATCTTTTCTTTTTTTTAACTTTTTTTGAGAATTTTAATATTTATTTTTTAGTTTCGGCAGACACAACATCTTTGTTTGTATGTGGTGCTGAGGATCGAACCCGGGCCGCAGGCATGCCAGGCGAGCGCACTACTGCTTGAGCCACATCCCCAGCCCTGAGTAACTATCTGTTCTACAAAGGAAGAAAGGGAGGCTGAGAGAGGCTCATAAAATCTAAAGAACATGTGGATCTTTGGTCCACCTTTCCCTAGGGAGAGATTAGGTGAGTATAGAAAGGTCATACCTTTGGGTAAGGAGCGTCCATCAGGGAAAGTGATAGATTTGCTGAGATCTCTGCTCACACCTGCTACTGGTGGATAGAGCCTCAGGGCCTCCTTGATGCACATGGTGATGTAGGGCATTTGGTCCAGGTGGTCCCTGAAGTGTAGGCCATCCTGAGGGGTAGGAAGGGCCCAGGAAGACCAGCAGCTTGYCCCTACCAGAGGCAGGGCTCTCCCACCTCTTGAGCTCTCACTCACCAGGTGATGGAGGCTCTGTCCCCCAGGAGGCTCTGGACCTCCTCCCTGCACCTCTGCTGATGCTCCGGGTGTGTGGCCAGAGCATAGAAGATCCAGGAGATACCACTGRCTGTGGTGTCATGGCCCTCAAACATGAAGGTGTCCACCTCGGCATGCAGGTCCTCATCAGACAGGCTGCTCCCATTCTCCAACTGGGGAGTCCATGGATGAGAGAGCAGGGTTTGTTCCTCCCTCTCCTAGGCAAAGTCTCTGGTTTTTCCACCCACCACATACTCACTTTGGCACACAGAAGGATGTCCAAGAAATCCAAGTGCCTCTTTTGCCTGATCTTCTCCAGCTCTCCCTCATTCTGCAGCTGAGCCTTCCTTTGCCTGATCACTTGATCTGTCCCAGGATAGGAATTACCAGGTAGAAAACACAGCTACAGCAACCCCTAATAAGCCATTTTACCCCTATGACAATCTGGGTATCCTGTGGAGCTCAGGATACACAGGTGAGTGGGTGTGTGGGAGTCTAGCACCATCTGATGCAGGCCGACCTCCCATGGGAGTCCCTGTTGATTGCTGGTGGGATAGGTCTCATTCAACACTGCTAATGTGATGATACTGGCATTGTGCTGTACCTGACACACTAACATCTCAGCTCCTAACACTTGCAGTAAGATAGTGTCCAGCATAAGGGTGTCCTAGTTTCTTTCCATTGTTAGCAGATGCCCTGCCTCTGTCTCAGGGGCCATGGCCCTATCTCTTAGACTGAACCTGGTAAAGGAAAGKAGACAGGATTAGAGACAGAACCTGTGTGCTCATGGGCAAGCTGGCAGGCATGGTGGAACAAGCGGCCAWCAGAGGTCAGTCTGTAGATGGTGTCGTTCTGGTGAAAGACATTCCTCGCACAAGATAAAAACAGGTAGTTCATATCCCCAACAGCCTGAATGTAGGACTTGGAATTCCTGATGGAGAGATTG